CAGTCATGCACTGCCCGCACATTCTCTGCACACAAGAAAATCTATGCTGCAGTTAGTGCAACTGCACAAATGCTCCAGCAACTGATCTGGTCATCTGCTGCTTCATACTGAACTGTGAGCCCGAGCGCAGCTCTCTACGTGCCGACTGTGTGTGTGCCGACTGGAGGAGAGGAACGCCCCCTCCCTCCCTGGTCCAGACAGACCTGTGTCACGTGATTTATGAAGAAGTAAAAAAATGAACCAGTGAAATCACAGGTGAACTTTCATTCCAGCCAATCAGCATCTTCTGGAGTTTTAGCGCTGACGTCCAAAGCTAAGTAGCTACAAGCAAACTCCTGGTCTTCTAGAGTTTCCCAGGCTTTATACTGAATATTTCATCACATACCCAAGAATAAAATTTGACGTTGTGGATTTATCGCAGAAGTTTACGGTCGTACGACGTCAAACAAAGGCGGCAAGTTAATCCCACAACTTGCAGCCGTTTTTATCATGCTAAGTGTTAGCAAACAGTGGTGCTTGGTGTAAATCTGGACGGTCAAAGGAAAAGTTTACAAGGCAGTGGTGAGAGCAGCTATGTTGTATGGTCTGGAGACAGAGACATGGACAAAAAGACAAGAGACAGAGACAGAACTGGAAGTGGCAGAAATGAAGATGTTGAGGTTCTTCTTAGGTTCGTCCAAAAGCAGCTGGAGTTTCAACTGATGGCAGGTCACTCTGGAGAAAATGCAGCCGGAGGAAAAGGAGAGAACTTACCTTCTCACCTCTGAAATAATCATTCAGGACGTGTGGCAGCAGGTGTTCTCATGTCACTCAGAAACGGCCGTCACATCATCTCTCCAGACATCAGTTGTGCACTGAAGCATGCCCCCTAATAAACTTCTGCCTTTTCCTCTTTTTTTTAACAACATAAACAGAGAAATATCTATCTACACTGCTGTGTGAAAAAAGAGCACCTTATTATTCATGACTGCACTTTGTTACATAATTTTTTTTTTTTTTTCCATTTTCAAAACTTTTGTTGCAAACTTTTCCAAACTTGATGACTGAAAGTACCATTTACATCTCTGTGGAGGAACTGAACATTCGACGTGCGTATGAACAGGGAGTGCAAACTGACGAAAGACCCCCACAGCCCCCCACCTCAAAAATGAATCCGGCGCCGCTGGTGGCGATGCGCCACTTGTCAGTCTCAACTCTCGTTGGCTCCGCCCCACACTGCACTCACACACATTGTGCTCATGAATGGCACAGACACTTAACAGAACCAGAACAAGTCCTGATGTCACTTCAGACTCAACACTCGCATCATGCTGACTAACAGTGAAGTAACGAACACTGACCCTTCTCATGGCTCCTCACCTTGTTCTGGAGCACCATGCTGCTGTAGCACCGGGACAGGGTGGGTAGCAGGACCCTGGGGGGCAGCCTGGAGGCCAGCGTGCTCCTCAAGGAGGAGAGACGAGCGGAAAGCTGAGACGAGGCTGAGCCAGAGGAGGAGGTCTCCAGGAGCCGGGTCAGACGACACACCTGGAAGAACACAAAGTGGACAGGTGTGGCAGGCCTGTTAGCCATCAGAAGGCGTGTTACCCGTCAGCGACTGTGTTACCCATCAGCGAGCGTGTTACCCGTCAGCGAGCGCGTTACCCGTCAGCGAGCGCGTTACCCGTCAGCGAGCGCGTTACCCGTCAGCGA